ATAGTTCATTTTGACGGCTTTTGTAAGGGCCGAACTCCGGTTCAACGCTTCCAACCGGCCACCCCCTCCAAACCCAGTTTAATACTCGGGACAGCACGCTATCCTTGGCCGTGTGTGCTGCAATGTCCCTGGATGATACCGGGGGTCGAGGAAGCTCCTCAATTGCCAAGACCTCACAGGCGGGGGCAGGGTCTGCGCCAATGTCCGGCACCGGGCACCGGCTGAGGGCATCCGCATGCCCAATCGCTTTCCCAGGCCGGTGCTCTAAGTCAAAATCATAAGCCTGCAAAAATATCGCCCATCTAAGCATGCGTGGGGACATGATGTTTGGCAATTGCTTATCGGGCGCAAAAATCCCCAGTAGCGGCTTGTGGTCAGTGACCAGCAAAAATCGTCTGCCAAAAATAAAATCATGGAACTTTTTGACAGCCGCTACCAACGCCAGACCCTCCTTGTCTATCTGGGCATAGTTCCGCTCTGCCGCAGATAGTGATCTAGAATAAAAAGCGATAGGCGCTTCGCTCCCATCAGGCATCAGATGGCTTAAAACTGCGCCTACTCCAAACGGTGAAGCGTCAGCAGCTAACACCAGGAGCTTGTGTTCATCATAATGCGTGAGTACGGCATTAGATGTCAGCAGCTCCTTGACTCCCACAAAAGCCTTTTCCTCGGCCTGCCCCCACTTCCATTTTGCCTCCTTGTGCAAAAGCGCGTGCAAAGGGGCCGCCACTGATGCCTTATGCGGTAAAAACGCATGATAAAAATTCAGGAGTCCTAAAAAGGATTGGAGCTCCTTCTTACTCACCGGCCTGGGGGCGTTTTGGATTGCAGATACCTTCTCATCCGTGGGGTGGACTCCCTCTGCGTCAATGCGAAACCCCAGGAAGTCCACACTTTCCACCCCGAGCGTGCATTTTGAGCGCTTAACTCTGAGGCCGGCATTTTGAAAACGCCTGAGGACCTCTTTAACCCGGTCCAGTAGTTCCTGTTCAGACCCGCCCGCAATCAGCACGTCGTCAAAATAGGGCACTGTGCCAGGTACCCCCCTTAGTAGACGTTCCATGAGGCCCTGAAAAATCCCAGGTGCTACGTTGACCCCGAATTGCAGCCTGTTCACTTTAAAAGCCCCTTGGTGGGTTACAATTGTTTGGGCCTCGGCAGCCTCCGGGGTGACAGGCAACTGCTGGTATGCCTGGGCCAGGTCAAATTTGGCGAAAATCTTGCCACCCCCCAGGGAAGCCAAAATGTGGCTTATTACCGGGACCGGGTACGAATGTTGCTGCAGCGCCTTGTTAATCGTACATTTGTAATCGGCGCATAGTCGTATGGACCCATCTGATTTGACAGGGGTTACGATCGGGGTCTCCCATTTGCTGTATGGTACTGGCTCTAAAACCCCTTGCTCAACTAGTTTGTCAATCTCTTTTTCCACCTTATGTTTGAGAGACACAGGTACTTTCCGATACTTCAACCTAATAGGTTTGACTGACGGATCTAAGTCAAACGCAACCGGGGGGCCCTTGTACCTTCCCAACCCTTCGGCAAATACATCAGGGAACAGGTCGTACAGCATGCCCCATTTATTTTCAGACATCCTGTTAATCCCAGAAATACCGATGCCCAATGGCTCAAACCAATCTAACCCTAGCAGGTTAACCCGGTCTCCCTCTGCAATCAGGAATGACAGTTTAACACATTTCCCCTTATACTCAACAGTAACAGAGTCCCGTCCGGCCAAGGGAATTCGGTTGCCCTGGAAGTCGGACACTCTGGTTCCCGCAGGCTGGAGCCGCCGCCGGCTTCGGTTCGGGAACAACTGGCGCCAGGACGCGGCAGAAATCACCGTCACGGACGATCCTGAGTCCACCTCCATTGTACAGGGTCGGCCGTCGAGGAGTGGAGTCACGGTGATCTTGCCCTGGCTGCTGGTGCGATTTACGGCCGATGCGCTCGACAAGGTCGCCGTCAACTGGCAGCTTGCTTCCGATGCTGAGGAACGGGTCTTGCCTTGGGTGCTGACTGGAGTGCCCCTCTGCGCTGACCGGTTGTTAGTTGAGGGATCCTTCTTCGCTGATCTGCAGACTCTGGCCAGATGACCACGCCGCCCACACGCTCTGCAGTCGACATCACGAGCCCAACAGGAGCCGCGCTGGTGCTTCCCGCCACAACCGGAGCAAGGCTTGACGTTGGTAGTCTTCGCTGGGGTCCGCTTGCCTCGAACCGCGTTGACGTCATCATCCGCGTCTTCGCCCTCGCTGTCTCGTTGAGCGTGTATACTGGGCTCTGCCACCCGCTGGCGGACCTCCTTCGTGGACTTCTCCGCTGCTTCCGCGGCCACGGCCTCTTCGTAGGCCACTGCCCAGGTCAGGGTGGTGCGGGCGAACAGCCTCTGTTGCAGCCTTTCATCTTTGAGACCGCAGACGAGACGGTCTCTGAGGGCTTCCTCCACGTTGTGGAAATTACATGGCCGTGCGGCTTTGCGAAGGGCCGCCACGAAATCTGCGATGGTCTCGCCTCCGGCCTGGTTCCGCTTGTAAAAAGCGTGCCGGCAGGCGATCTCCGACGGTTGTGGAGAATAGTGAGCCTTAAGCTTCTCCGTGATGTCAGCGTAGGTGACAGTCTTTATATCAGTTGGGGCCACCAACGACCTGGCTATGTCGAAGGTCCCCTTCCCGCAGGAACTCAGGAGGCATGCTCGTTTCTTCGCCTCATCGGTGATGTCGTGGGTCTCCAGATGGAACTCGAACCTGGACAGGTAGGAGTCCCAGTCTTCTGAGGAGGGTTCGAAGCACTCGAACTTCTGGCTTCCAGCCATCGGGGGAGACTTGGGCACCGGAGCTGGTGGCGCCTCCGCCGGATCGGCTGCTGTGCTCTGCTCGCTTCCTTCCGAGTCCGAAGTGTGGATGTCCGCAGGGCTGCCTACCTGCTCTAACATCCCACCCTCGTCGCCAATTGTTAGATCGCGCTAACAAAGGACTCGTAGAGTGATTCAGCAAGTGATTCAGCTTTATTTAGAAGTAACGAACAAGCACTAACTCAGTAAGAAACCAGAACAGAAAACAGTGGGAGCTTATGCTCCTTTTAAACATAACCGGGCTAATGTAGCCACGCCTATTTACAAATAACAACCAATGAGATTGCTAGAATAAAGACCAATGGGAGTCTTTCCCTCCTAGGGAATGGTATCGTTCTGATTGGTCGCTGTTACGAAGCGACCAATAGGAAGTTCGCTCAGAGGAGCCCTGGTCTGGCTTGAAGCTTAACATGGGAGTCCTATGAGGTGATTCATGTAATCATTTCAATACATTACAGCATAGGCATGGAGATCTGACTCCTTTTATCCTAGTCAGAAGGTGGTAGAGGTGTTTGAAAGAATGCTTGTAAAGGATGCAACAGTACAGTGGATTTTGTAATCAGCTTGACTGCAGCAGAAAGGAAATGGGTGTGGGCAGAAAATTGGCATCTGTACTGAGATAAAAATCCTACGTCTCTGTTCAGCCCTGGGGGGTCCATTGTTCTGAACTTGTGAATTAACTCATTGTTCTGAATTTGTGAATTACAGCAATCTCATGCTGTAATTTCCCTTTGAAATGTCTTTGTTTGAGGACTGCCATTTTAAAGTCAGCAATGGAATAACCTGGAAGATTAACATGTTCTCCTACTGTTGTTGTTGTTGTTGTTTTAGTCCGGTGGGTAGTGTCAGCGAGCTGCCAATGTTTGGTTTTCTATTACTGTATTCGTTTGCCTGCTTTCGCTTTCAGCCGTAGGACTGTAGATGCGCATGACTGTTTAGACTGCCGAAACTTTTGTATCTCCCAAGGCCACAGGTGGTTGCAAGTGCTTGTTAGTGCAAAGAAGCTCTCATGAAAGGCCGTGAGAAATAGATAACATATTCTGACTAGGAACGTTTATTCTCAAGCCCAAAGGCGCGCAGGGGAAACCCCGCAATTGGGCCTCAGTAGTTCGAATGATCTATAATATGCTTTGCTATTTGATTCCCTCTCATTCTGAACAGTGATCCTGTTATGCACCTTAGCTTCAAAATAAAGTAAAACCTTTTCTACAAGTATGTACTTCATTATGATGCTGTGAGGAGTCTGACAGGTAGCCAATGCCGTATTATTCTGAAGCAGCAGAACAAAGGTTGAGTCCAGCGGCACCTTTCAGACCAACAAAGTTTTATTAAAGGGATAAGCTTTCGTGTGCACACACATATCTGTAGATAATCTGAAGAAGTGGTGTTCTGTTCTTCAAACAATCTGAAGAAGTGGTGTTCTGTTCAGATAACCTGAAGATGTCTGCGTGCACACAAAAACTTATACCTAGAATTAGACTTTTTCGGTCTTAAAGGTGCTGCTGAACTCAAACTTTGTTCTGTTCTTTTTTTGGTGTTTCCATTTTTGAATGTCACATTTAAGTCTATTTATCCTTTTATCAAGGAGCTGCGGTGGCTCAAGTGGTTAAGACGCTGAACTGCAGACTGTGGAAGGTCCGTAGTTCAGCAGTTCAAGACCCGAGTGTGCCGCATGACGGAGTGAGCTCCCGTCTCTAGTTCCAGCTCCTGCCAACCTAGCAGTTCGAAAGCAAGAAATTGCAAGTAGAGAAATAGGTACCACTTCATTGGGAAGGTTACAGCATTCGGTGTGCCTTGGTGTTTAGTCATGCCGGCCACATGACCACGGAAACGTCTTCGGAAAGCCCTCGCTCTTCAGCTTTGAAATGGAGATGAGCACCGCAACGCTAGAGTTGGACTCGACTGGCTTTCGAGCAAGGGAACCTTTACCTTTTATCCTTTTGCGTAAGGACTGACCTGTTTGTCCTATGATGGCAGTGAAAGGGTATTGCTGACGTTTGAGGGCATATATAACACCGGGAGATGAACAAGTGAATGTGCCCAAGATGGTCTGGTGGGTATCGCTAGGTCCAGTTATTGTGTCGTCAGAGTGGATACGGGGACAGAGCTGGCATCTTGGTTTGTTGCAGGCTCTGGTCCTCTGTACCCGTGTCTGGAAGAATGTTGCTGTGGGTGAGAAGATGTTTAAGATTAGGAGGCTCTCTGTGGGCCAGAAATGCTTTGCCTCCCAATACCTGTGAGAGAGAAGCAGGGCTCTTTTTGTAGAAAAAGCCCAGCCGGAACTCATTAGCATAATAGGCCACACCCAACAGCAAAAACTCATTAGCATGTTAGGCCACACACCTGACAGCACAGCTCATTAGCATATTAGGCCACACACCCCCATGTTACCAGAAGTCTGGTCATCCAGCCACACCCACCTTTTGCTTCTTATTCTGTTTACCTTGTTTGTTGTCAAAACCCAGGGCCTTTTTTTGTAGCAGGAACTCCTTTGCATGTTAGGCCACACATCCCGAATGTAGCCAATCCTAATGAGTTTCTGCTGTTGGGTGTGGCCTGTTATGATAATGAGTTCCTGCCAGGTGTGGCCAACTCAGGAGCCAACCAGAACTCTGTTCCTGTGCGTTCCTGCCCCAAAATAGCCCTGGAGAGAAGTATCCTTGTTCGGCATAGGTGGTAGGTTGTTAATGACGCATTGAATGGCTTTGAGCTGAGAGCTGTATGTGACCACCAGTGTTGTTCTCTTGCTGTTGGGCCTATCTTGTAGCAGGTTACCCCTTGGTATCATTTTTTTCCAGGGGAACTTATGTCTGTAGCCTGGAGAGGAGTTGTGATTCTGGGAGCCCTGGGCAACTGCACAGCACCCCATTTTCATGGCTGACTTAGAGCTATGCTTCCTCTGCTCCTGCCCAGAGGCACCTGTCCTGTGCTTAAGGCTCACAGATGACCTTTTAATCGTCGCTCAAGATGGGTAGCTGTGTTCATCTGTCTGTCGCAGTAGAAAAGAGCAAAAGTCCAGTAGCACCTTAAAGATATACAAAATTCGTGGCAGGAAATGAGCTTTTGTGAGTCAGTGCTCACCTCCTCGGGTACCTGAAGAAGTGAGCAGTGACTCACAATAGCTCATACCCTGCCACAAAATTTTAGTCATAGTTACAGACAGGGGTCATTTCCTGCAGGAGCTCACAGGAGCGGAGCTCCGGCAGTAAAGAGCCCAGGGGGCGGGCACATGCAACAAGCCCCACCCCCTGCTCCCAGCAGCCCTCAGTCAGAGCAAGGAGCAGCCAGGTAAGTTGCAAATCCCCCGGTCCAAAACAGTCCAGTGGCACCTTTAAGACCAAGTTTTATTCAGGTACAAGCTGTCCCTTCTCTGCGAGGACAGATCTGCACGTTCCCC